CACTTTGTTTGTACATATTATTGCTTATTTTACTTTTGTATGTTTTTACTTAGTGTATTTATGCATATTTTCATTACTTTACTTTTTTCATGCTTTTTACTTACTTTTGTCTTACATACTTTATTATTAACTTTCATTTTTAGCATGCCTTTTTATTTATTTTATTTGTGCTTGTCACTGCTTACTTTATTTTTTGCACGTCGTTTATTTACTTTGTTCTTGCATATTTCACTATGAACTTCATTTTTGAATTTTTTTTACTCAGTTGTGTTAGTTGGAGAACGATATAGGTAGTATAATAATCGAATGGCCATTCCAGATATCCTGAAAATCAAAGAATTAAAACTAATTCGATTCTGAATTTTTGGTAGTGAAGAAGCTAACAGCTTCCATCACTTTTGCATTTTCTGCTAATTAAGCGTCAACAGAAAAAGGTTTTTTTAACTTTGTTTATATTTTGGTGTGCGCTCTGAATGTAGCATTCTCAAAATTTTTGAGCCAATTTAATCGGGAATTTTTGAAATGCTGTTAGCTGTTGACATGGTGACTGTGACATGTAGAGATGAAAAGATGAAACGAAGCCTATCTCACTTTTTTATTGGTGAAATATAAGCGTATTTCTTGGATACTTAAGCGGTTGGATCAATCGCCCAATCGAGCAGGCGTCAGAAGCTCAATGCTTATCAATGAATTTTAATGAAATTTCGATTGGTATACTTAACTGCTCATTTTATATCAAGGATAATTTTAACTTTAATTTCTATGATATAATTTCACTGTCAATTCATTGCCAAATGGAAGGAACTTGATATTCACTCCCCCCTACTCATTCATCTAAATGATTTTAAACGCAAAATGTTTTAGTTCGTACTTTTTATTGATTCTAAATTTCAAATCCTCTTTTGCCTTTTTTTTGGGAAAAATGTTATAGACTTGCATTTTCACCAAACCTCATAATCATTTTTTTGGTATTTTCAACAGCTTTCAAATGATAAATTGTTCTCAGTTCGTCGAGACTAACTATGATCTGTTTAGGTAAATTAAAATTTATGGTTCTTTTCTTTTTTATTGAAGTGGAGTTGTGAATAGAACATCAAGTAGCGAATGAAGCGCCAGTACTTCCGAAAAATGAATTATCAGGTTCTTTTCATTCCATGATTTCTTCAGGGATTTGACAATGAAACTATATCACAGAAATTAGACTTGGAATTATCCTCGATATCAATTGAATTTTCTCGAGAGTTACGAATTTCTGAACTTTGCTGTCATCTTAAATCGAAATAAGCGAGAATAATTTTCTTCACAAATATTTGCTGGTTGCGAAAATTTTTTAGTAATGTTTTTTTTTTACGACAAAACAAAAAAATACCTAGGTGTACCAGTCGAATTTTCACTGAAATTCATTGATAAGCTTTGAGCTTCTGATGTCGCCTTTAGTGGATATTTGATGAAAACTCAAATCTTATGATGGGTGGACTATCGAGTGCCTCTGATTATAAATAAATAATGGAGAGATATTAGAGTTGAAGTTTGAAACGATGACCTTTAAAACTATATATTGGAAGGTGTATGCAAAAATCGGTCTCTTTTTACTGTTAAAAAATGTTATTTTGTGACGTGCATGCAGCTACTCTGCAATTCGCATGGAAAAAGCAATTCATTAAGCAGAGTTTCAATATTTCAAACCATATCAGTAGAACATTTTTCACAGAAAAATTTTGGAGTTATAGAATTCGTTAACTTTCTTCAGTTGCTGTTATTATCAGTTGTTCTCTTAATTGTAAACATATTTCGTTTTCAATTTATTTTGTGTTGGCATGCTGATTTCTAACAGCATGTCGTGAGGAGGTGTCAAGCCATCTTTATGCGATCCCTTGATTACTAAATTCTGCGAATCATTCCAGT